CTGAGTTGGAGGAGGCGTTCTTCTGCTTCCTGCATCACAAAGTATGAAACAGGTGAATTTGCTCAGTCAAGCAGTGGCTTTGCAGCATTTTCTTTCTTTGACACCAGCATGTGCTGATGGGACACCTTTGAGGCAGCAGTTCCAGCTCTTCCCAGGTTGGCTACGTGGGGTAAATGAAGCAGGTGGGCCCTTGCTGGGATAGGTCTGCTTTGTGAGGTGCACAGCAGGGCCACCGGGTCCAGGAAGAAGGGGGTAAAGTTTAGAAAAAAAAGCACTAAGGATACTTGTTTTTGCAGACAGAGGTCAGTTATTAGTCTGAGTGTTTCTTTGGATGGGACTTGAGGGCTAAAACCTGCTTTTTGGGGAGGGCTTTTTGTGTCTGGAGTGAGAAGTTAGAGTTGAGGTGTTCAGCCAGGACTATTTGTGTTTCAGCAAGGAGGAGGTTTGTTCTCCACAGTGCTCAGGGCAGGATTTTTCTTGTGTTGAGATCTCTTGCATCCTTCCCTGCTCCTCACGTGTCCCCCACCTGTGTCTGTGGCTGCAGGAGCAGAGGGGACGTGCTGGGTTTGTTTCCTGCTGCTGTGAGCAGGGATTTGGAGCAGATGGGGCTGTGAGGATCCCTTCCAGCCTAAATGACTATACTCTCATCCTGCCAGGAGAGGCAGATGCCAACAGTGAGTCCTCACAAAGGCCTGCAGTGGGGATGAAAATGAGATGTGGGGGAGAATGAAGTGAATGAACATTGATCATTCTGCCTGAGACAGGTGAAACCAGGTGGCCAAGCCTGTGTTTGCCATGGCCAGATGTGGCCAGTCCCAGATGTTGTCTAGAGAGGAGGGCAGGGTTTGAAGGATTCCTTGCTGGGAGGGTCCCTAGGAGAGGGGACACCGCTCCAGCTGTGGGATGAAGCAGTGGAGGGACCGCTCTCCTCAGCCCCTCTGGCTCTCCCTGCTCGGTGGGGACCCGGGGAGGGAAGTACCTCAGCATAAATATTCCTCCCTCTGCATCTGCCTTTCATTAAGGCTCCCCTGAAGCTGTGCAAGGGGAACTGTGGAGCTGCCCTGTGCCAGGATCTGGCTGCCACCCCATCGGCACCGTGGGCACAAGCCAGCTCCTGCTGGATCACGGGACACACGGCGATCTGGCGGTGGGACAGGAGAACCTCCCAGCAGCCAGCTCTCGGGAGAAATCTGGCTCTTAAATCCAATTATATTTGCAGACTGAGCTCTTTTGTCCTCACTGCTGTCAATGCGTGTGCAGCCTTTGCTTTTTACCCCCCCTTTTTGGTCGCTTTGGGCTTTTTAATGGCTGTGTATAAAATCAAGGAGTTGGAAGGTTCTTCATGTCCTCAGCGTACTCCTGGATGCTCTTTACAAGGGGAATGCCTGTTTGCTGATGTCACCTCGTGTGGCTCAATGTCAGAACTCTGCTCCCTTCGCTGGAAAAGCTGCGCTGACCACGCGAAATGCTCACATGAATTTTCCTAGCGTGCCCAGGGAGGTGTCCTTGATGACCTTTCGCGGTAATTACCGCAGTTAGGAGATGTTTGCCGCAGGCAAACTTCTCTCTGAGGTCCTCAGCGTTGTGCTCTGAGTTGTTTTGGATTTCCCCTTCCATGTTCTTCTGGAAAATAGCAGTGTGGCTTCTAATGTCTTACTCTCCCCTTAAAATCTCTCAGTCGCTGTTGGGAGGCAGTGAAAGCTGCTGGGGATTTTCACAAACAACCCGAATATGGGTTTAAGGAAGCATTCATATTTCCTATTTATGTTTTTCTTTTAAACTCTGACTTCCAGAAACCCTTTTTTTCCCAAGAAAAACCCAGACAATCAGACGAATGTTTCTTTTAAAACGTGTGAAATATGAAGGATGAGGCGTCGAGTTTCCTTTCAAGCAATTCTGAGCGAAACCAAAGCCTTTTTGAAGTGGTTTACTGCAATTGTAGTTTGCTTTGCTTCCTGCTCCTGCATTGGGCACACCTCCCGGCTCGTTGTGTGTGGCTACAGGCACTGGGGGAAGTTGGAAGGCCAACAAAAGGCAAGGGGGCTCTAAAATCTTCTTTCTTTTTCTATTTAGAGTGCTGCCAATGAGACGTTGCATTTTATTCCTTCCTACCATCGAGGCACTATGTCTCCCCCAGCATCGATGGAGGCAGGGAGGGGTAGGGAAGGAACGGGAGTAGATTTCATGCTGGATGAGTCTCCAGTTCGGAGTCCAGACTGTGGGGAGGGTGAAAAAAAAGCTTTGTTTAGTCTGCAGTCAGTAGTTCTAGCAGGAGCCCTGGGCGGAGAGCTGGGAAGTTGGGTGTCCTCTGCTTAGGCTGATATGATTTACAGTGTTGAGATCTGGCTGTGGGATTGACAGAGCCAAAGCAGAGGGAAAAGTGTGCTGGAGAGCTTGTCTCAGTGCCAAAGGGTGGGGAGCAAGGGTAGAGTTGCTCATTCCCCATGGCCACATTTCTCCTTGTGGCCGGGCCCATCTTTCCTGCCACCCTCTGTGATATCTGGACCATTTGCCAGGCTGGAATTGTGCTGGCAGAGCTGTCTGAAGGACCTTGGGATGCTCTGGGTGAGGATGAAGGAAAATGAGGATGGCTTTGAGGCTGCTGGATGGTTGGGATGTCGTGAGTGATGAAGGTTAAGGACATTCCTGCCCAGCTCCGGCTGCCTCTGTGAGAGCAGGAAGCGCCTCCAGAGCCCCTCCTGGCCTAATTCCTCCAATAAATAGGATATTGTCAGAGCAGGACTCCACCAGCTTGGTGAAAAGCTGATACTTGCAGCAAGGCTGTGGCTTTGTACCACCATAGTCTTGCCAGTTCCTCCAGCAGTGTAAAAAACTCGTTGCTTTTGGTGCCAACACCATCAGAGGAGCTGAATGGCTGAATTCTCTTGGCACTGTTTCAGAGCAATATCTGTTCTCCTTGCCTGATCAACATATCTGTTAATTACATTAAGGTAATCTGACCCTGGGCTCTTGCAAAAACCTCCCCCTGCTGCTGAAGGTGGTGGAAACCCTCCCTGAAGTGAGCAGCAAAGCAGCACATGTGGGATCAGAGGGTGGCTGGGGGGCACATCCAAGCCCTGGAAAACACCCTGGATGGTAAAGATGTGTCAGCTCTCTGATATCCTGGTGGTGTTGGCCTCACATCCTCATGTGGCTCCAAATCCAGAGGTTGGCAAAGAGCATACAGTCCCTAAGAGATGCAGCTTGCAGTGCTAAAAAAGCCTGGAAAACTGGAGAGCAGCCTTTCCCTTTAACTGGTGCCTGGCCCAGGGAGGAGTGGGATTTAAGCACGTACCTAAATTTCAGCATGTGTTGTCCCAAATGGGGACCCTCTTGAGCTGAAGTGCTGTTCTGAAGCAGGGCCAGCAGACTGTGGAAGTCACTTCTTATTGCCTCTACCCCACTGTGTTTGTGCTCATTGCAGCTCTCTGGCTGTTTACTACAAGGAGAAAATCACTTTATTTACTTGCAGCTCACTCAGTAACTGAGACCAGGCAGGTTGGGAGAGTCTCACATCAGCTGAGAGCGAGACATCTGACCTTGTCTCTTGTCTGTCTTGTTTCTATGATCCTAATTCTGCTCTAAATTAATTCTTTTGTTTAGCTGCTGGGGTTTTTTTTTCCTCCTTTTTGTTTTCGCATGAATGCTTGTCTCTATATTTAGGTCTGCCGGGGCGGGATGTTATGAATAATTGTTGATTGATATTATTAAACGCTAACACGCTTGGCTGTGTTGCACTAATGATGGGGCTTTGGGGATATGCAAATCAATTAATTGCAGTAATTGCTGTAATAGCTGTTTTGGAGGAGGCTGTTGAAGAGCCCTTGGGAGAGCAGACAAAGATGGAGATGTTTGGAAGTGCAGAGGAGAAGGGGTGCTCGAGTGTCATTGCAGAGGGCTCCTTCAAGTTGCCAACTTGTAAAGTGGGGTTTGTTTTGCTCTCCAAAACCCACTCACACCAAATCCGCTCTTGCTTTGTTTCAGAGTTACCCCAGCGTGGCTATTCTGGACCTTTCTGCTGTGGTGGAGCTGAAGAAACTCACGGATGAGACGGAGCCTTGTCCAGGTAATCTCTTGCCTTAGAAATCTGGGAGACCTCCCTGAAAAACACTCAAGCAGGCAAAAAACTATCTCCAAGGCTAAACCTCAGTGTCAGCTCGCACTCAGCAGCTTTGGTTTGTCAGCTGATTCTCATTCACATCAAAGCTCTTTCACCCCTTCTGTGGCCGCATCACGGGGCCTCACAGTGGGCACAAGGGGACGTGAGTTGCCTCAGGAGCCACGCTGGGAAGGGAATGGGATTTTGGGTATTGTGAGGATGGGGAGGAAGAAGTCTCTTTTGGCTTCTTCCCTGTGCTATATGCGCTTTCCCTGCCTTTGTGTATTATTGTATATTCTTTTGTCTGGCTTTCCATATGCAACGTGCCTCAGTCTCCGTGCTCCGGGGCTGGTGTTCAATGTGGTGCACAGATGGTGCTCCCAGAAATCCCCTTATTTGCTAATGGGATTTTGTGCAAAGCGTTTCCACTGTTCTTTTCAAAAGTCCCCACGTTTGTGTCAATATGCCCAGAGCCCCATCTTGCAGAGACACCCTCTCCCATGCAGCTGAGAACACCACTTTATTTCTTTATTTGCCTGGTGTTTTAATCCCTGGGAAGGATGTCAGGACAGCTTCTGTGGGAGGCAATGGTTGCAGGACCCAGGCAGCTCTGAAATCACCTTGCACAGTGAAGGAGGCTCAGGATAATTGGGGTTGGAAGGGACCTCTGGAGATTCTCCAGTCCAAACCCCTGGGTCACCTGGAGCAGGTGACACAGGAATGCGTCCCGGTGTGTTTGGATGTCTCCAGAGAGAATGAGACTCCACGACCACCCTGGGCAGCCCTGCCAGATGTCACAGCCTTGCCAGGTGGCCTGGCAAGGCCGACTGGGGCACTCCAATGTGCACTTGTCACCTCGCTGGTGGCCCTGCCCTTACATTTTGTACTAAGATGTACTTACCTATTCAGCAGCTTCCCCCGGGGGTCTTGCAACATTTCAGTAATGCAGTGTTCAGCTATTATGCAGCTATTCCCAGCTATTATGCAGCAATTCCCCTCTGTGCCCTTCATTCTTCAAGCAGTGCTCCAAATCAGGATATAAATAGCAAAAGGCTGGAATATGTTGCTTTTGTTACCAGAGGCCTTTCAGAATAGGTTAGATGTGTGCCTGACGGGGATAATACAGTGCTAACTCTTCCAACGGGGCACAGAGCTGGACTAGGTGACCTCCTGAGGTCTCTTCCAACCCTCATTTTTCCATCCCTGCGTGACATCCCCTGCTAGTGGGTAAGTGGAGCTTTGTTTTGCGTCACACTGGCTGGAGCAAGGTCAGGGGTGTGTGTCAGGAAGTTCCCTGTCTGTCTGCCCAGCCTCATCCTGCGTCAGGCTCTCCTCCTGGACACTTCTCAGGCTCCTCTGCCACGGGAAGGTGAGTCACACCAAGGCAAGAGCTTCTCCTGGAGCTGGCCAAGGGCTCCAGGTGGTTCCTCTGGAGCTGAGCTTAAGCAGAAAAATCTCATCACAGCCCCGGTTCACAAAGTCTGGGCAGCCCAAGGCAGGAAAACTGCCAAGGACTGTTCCTGTTGTGGTACAGGCCACTGAGATGGTGAATTTGGGATCAGGAGCTGGCAATGGCTCACTGCCAGGCAAAGAGAACCAGCTGTGGGATACTGTTGTGTGCAGATTGACCCTTAGAGCCCCACTGTGCTTCTCTGAGCATCCAGGACTGTGCTGTCCTCCAAAAGGGGGTATGACACTCAGGAAGCCCTCATCTTCAGCTCTGTGCCAGATTCCAGCTCTGGGCTGGGGAGCTGTGCTAACAAAGTAATTCTTGTTGTAGTCACCTCCACAGCACCTGGATCTGTCTCAAGTTTTGTTTGTTTTGTTGACCATTGCTGCACCTCTTGAGCATCTGGCTGCCACGGTGTTAGTCCATCTGTGACTACTTTGTCCAAAATTTAGGAGCTATGGGGGATTATGGAATACAGCCCTCTGTGTCTCAGAGCTCTCCTCAGCAGCAGAGTTTGGGAAATAACATTTTTTAGGTCTGCAAAAGATGGCAGGGAACCGGCACAGACACTTCTCTTCAGCAGTGCCCCGCTGTGATCCGATATCTCTGCGGGGAAAACAGCTCTTCAGAGGTATTGGCTTTCCGTGCCCATCAAGAAATACCTCTTTGCCTCGTGTTTTTTCAGCCTCTCAGCTTTGCTGATTTTATCACCCTTCTGATAAGGGTGATTAGATCTGATTTGTTTGAATTACAGCCCGGCTGCTTTCAGCTCTCACAGACACAACACGGTGCTGCGGTGCTGCGCAGGGTTGGAGCAGGGAAGTGAGGAGGGAGAGCCTTTCTCCCTCTCTGATAATAGTTAGCAGATGTGATACCATTACCAGGTCAAGGATCTGAAATCAGGCAGCAGCAGGAAAAGCGCTGTGCTCGGCTGGCACTTGAAAGCCGTGCAGGGAAGGATGTGGCAAAGGCTGAATCACCCCGTGCTCAGCAGCAGCTCGGAGCATTGCTCTGCGAGGTTTCACAAGCTGTGGGATCTTTAAGCAGTCCTGGTTTGCTGCTTTGGCCCCAGGAGCTGTTCTTTACGTTTGGAATACACCATTAGTGATGTCTTGTTAAAAATCAACGCTGCCCAAGGCTCGTTTATTGCTTGGAAGCTGTGAAGTTTGTCAGTGTGTCTTGTTTTTGTGGAGGTGTGATGCCCCATTTTTTGCCCTTTTTAGAGGTTCCTGGGCTACTAGAAAGACTTTTCCCCCTGAACTAGGTTTTGTGCAAGGTTGGTGCCCTGCTGTGAGCCACACCGTGATGCACACAATATTAAAACCTGGCTTTCTGTGTTATCAGGAGCATTTTTTTCCCCTAAAGCCCTTGCAATAGCTTTCCAGGATAGTTCAAAAAATCTGGGACAGGTCAGACAGATGACTGTGCCCCTGTGGCTTTGTCCTTTGATTTAGGGCTGAAAATCTGAAAGAAGACACGATTCAGCTGTGGGTTTGGTGCTGGTTTGGGCTCTGGGAGGAGCCTGACTTCTGCCTGCAGGTGCATCTTTTCTGCAGAGCTTGGTCAGGAGCATCTCTGGCTCTTGCCCTCCTCATCCCCTTGCCTTGCTATCTCCTCTCCCCAGTAACTGAAATCACGGTGGCAGAGCCTTGTGGGATTGCTCTTTAGAAAAAGGCTGTGCCTTAACTTTGGCTGGTTTCAGTGAGAGCAACGTTCTTGAAAAGCCATTCCTGGGCTCCAAGCAGCCCTTGGAAAAAGAGCTTCCCAGGTTTCTGGCTGAAGGAATGATCATCAGATAGTAAATGGTCACTCCTAGCAGGAGGGCAGAGAGCTGTAGGGGTTTTAAGGAGACAAATGGGTGTGCTTACAGCATGCCAACAAAGAACAAAATATCTGGGAATACTGGGAGGAGTCTTGAGGAGTTGCTCTGGGAGAAAGGTGAGTGAATTGCATCTTTAAAAGCTTCCATGGGGAGGATGTGGCAGCTTCACCTTAACATGGAGGTGTGTATTGGGAAGGAAAAGCTTAACCTGGGCTGTCTTTTCATTGCTGCAGTGGGTGGTGGTGATGTGATATACTGATGGTCTCCTGGCAAAAGTCCTTTACTCTTTCCTCTGCTTTTCTTTCCCTGCTTCCCCCTCACCTCCAGCAAGGTGTCCTCTTAGGTCAGGTTTAGGGTGAGAGAAGGGAAGTCCATGTATTCAACTTAATGAGTGGTTTGAGTGCATGCAGGGTCAATGCAAAGCAGGGGGGTACAGCAGTGTGCATAGGTGTGTCTGGAGAGTCTATAAATAAATACCATATATTGCACCCTCCTTTGCTTCTCTCTTATGCTCATGGCACATTTTCTAGCCCCACAGGTGGCAAACCCTTCCAGGTGATGTTTGCCCATACTGAGAGCCCCTGTGAACTCTCCTGCCACTGCTCTTCGCTGCCCAATGGCCATGGGAAGAAAACTGCAACGCTGGCAGTGTGCCTGCTCTCTCCCACCTCCCCCCTATATCTCCTTCCCCAGCTGCTTTGACCAGGTCACTCCCCAGCTTTGATTCTCTCCTCTCACTGAAAGACCTCCCGTGGCTGCATTGTCTGGAGAGCTCTCGTGGAGGCTTCAGAGCTGTACTTCCACCTCAGTAGAGAACAGGCGCTCATTAACAGCCTCAGGGAGGGTGAACATCGCTGCTGCCTTCAAAGGAGGCACAGAGGTGCTGAGCCAGCTCCTGGCCCCTCTGGTTGGAGCCCTGCTGAAGGCATCAGCAAGATCAAAACATCAGCTGGGGAGAGCAGAAGAGCTGCAGGTATTGCTCCACGAGGCAGGAGCTGCCTGGCTTTGGGGCTCCTGGAGACACCAGGTGTGAGTGGGGATGGTTCTGACAAAAGGGCGGGCAGCAGGCCCAGCTCTTGGGAGGGTTTCCATGCATGTGCTGCTGTCAGCACTGACTGCTGCTTATCCTAAATTCTCCTAGGACTGCCCACGCCAGTGGCAGCTGGCAGAAGAAATGTACCTCAGGCAAAACCACGCTGAGGCTCAGGAGCCAAGGCCCTCATCCTCCTGCTGACCTCCTCCTCTCTGAACACCTCTGCCAGGCCCTCTGTCTCCTCCCTCAGAGCTGCATCTTGGTGGATGAGCTCCAGATGGTTGGGTGGAACCTTGCCAAGCACAGGGGGCTATCAGCAGTGCTGGGGATGACTGCAGGCCTCCTGCTGGGAAGTATGTGGAGATCTGTTGGCTTCTTCATTTAAGCCCCCAAAAAAGCACTCTCCCAACTACTTTTGGCTTTCCCTTTAGCCTAATGAGTTCTTCTCCTTTTCCAAAAGGTCTGAGGCCAGTCAGTCCTGAACATCTCTTTGTCTGGTTCCCCTTGTCTGGAAGCATGTCCAAGGAGTGCAGTGGGGTGGAGGTAGGTTGGAATTGGGCCATCCTTTGGCTCCTGCCATGAGTGCATAAACTTTTATCTTTCCAATGTTACCATTAAGGGGAGTTGGAAAAAAAAAAAGGAAAGGAAACTAAACCACAAACAACTGCATTAAAATAATAACCAGAGCCTCATGAAAGTGCACAAAACCCCAGCAAACCCTCTGTGCTTTGAAACTTGAATCTTATCTCCCCCTGTCAAGGTTAATTGCTGCTGGGTTCAAACCATGGACAAGCTTTCATTAAGGCTGGAGATGGGAGCCATGGCTGGGCTGGGTGCATTGGAGCAGAGCTGAATTTGGTCCAGTGTGTTAAGGAGGGAGTCACATCTGTAGCTACACAACTTCATTGGAGTCGTTGGATTTAAGTCTATCTTTAATGTTTCTGGACTGTCTTCTCCCAAGGTTATAACCTGTGGAGCTGTTTTAAAAGTGGTCACTTTATTTCTTTCCATATAACTTTATTTCTTTCCATATCACATCGAAGACTGGAGTATTGCAGTGTGATGAGATCTGGAGACCTCAAGAAGAGCTGATAAATATTCTGCTATAAAAAGACCCTTTTAGTTTATGTGGTGGGGAGCAAATAGTCTGTCCTGGGAAGCAAATCCTCCTCATTTCTCACTTAATCAACCTCCCAGGAGCCAGACACTGCTGATTTTCTCTTTTTTTGGATTGCTGTAGAGTTGCTATTGCACCCTAACCTGCATGTTGAGGATTCCAGCTCTTCTGGTTGTGGTTGTTGCTCCTGCACCTCATGTTCTTGTAAAGGGATGCTTGGAGGAAAAGGGCTTCTAAGAGCATTATCAATGAGAAAAACACATCACAGCATTAAAAATACACTAATGAAAAAGGAATCATGAGTTTTGGAAATAGTTTTTTATCTCCTTGAACTAGAAAATATCAAGATATGTCAATAAAATTAGTCTCCCCTACCCCCCCCCCCCGCCCCCAGAGTCATGGCTAGATTAATTTGGGAGACAGTTTTTCACATTCAAATATGTTGGGATTATGGTTCTGCTTGGGTAAATTAAAGAAACTAACTGTTCAGTGACTCAATTTGATCAACCATGAA